GGCTCGCATTCTATTCGTCACCGTAACCTGACTTCAAATTTAATTTTATGACTCTTCAGCCAATCATAAAACTCGGTTAGTAAAAATAATCCAATACAACCGCCAATTCTTCAGTCCACGTGGACTAGTTGGCAGCGGCTTTATTTCTCTGTATTTGTTTTTTGGCCTTTAAGAGCGCCGGTACTTTGATTATGCACAATACCGGTTACTTCGGCTATTCACTTATAGAGTCTGTACCGTGGAACATCGAGAGATAAAGTAAAGTTATGCGAAGTTTTCTGCAATACAGCACCAACGTTTCTATCGCTCTGTCGAGTTAAATCCAATCGCGTTCTTAATATACCGTACTAGAACAAAGCACCATAAATTACAGCGAGAGATTTCAACCACAATTTCAACAAGGAAATAAATTCAGTGGAAGATCTGAGAGTGATAGGGAAGGCAGACGAAAAGTTCGACGGAGGCGAAAGAAAAAAACTCGTTAATTATTTTCTTTATCTAACGTAGTCCCTCAGACACTCAGTCGTTTATCATGGTGATTTTTTTCAGTGTCAGATGTAAAAGTAATTGGTATTGCGTAAATTAAACTGAGTATATCTCCATAATTAGAAATCTTGACAATTCAGATTTGTATTCCAGAATATGTTTGCCATTTCCTAGATGAAATCTGAAACTATCTGAAGTTTCAGTAAGATTTTATCAGCTCAGCTGATAGACGCGATATTTAACGAATTGACAGAAGACTCAATTCAGGAATAAAAAAAAAACAAACGAGGGTTCACAAAGGATACAACTGTATTGTCCGACTACATTTGTACGACTGATTCCCGATTCTCGAGATAACTTAGTAAGAGATTGCGAAATTTCCATCAGTCCAACTTGCCCTAAAACTGCAGTACAAATAGCTTCATCGTTGACAACTCCTGAACGGTTATGATTTTTATTATTAACAGATCCAGTTTCCATAAATTTGTTCAATAATTCCGAAACGTATTTATGTCGTACATTTCTTCCTGGATGATTATCATTGAACATATCGAATTCAAACTCAACTAGGCAAAATAAGGCTTTTGAAGTATACTTCACAAAAATACCTATGAAACCTAGGTAACAGATTGTACAGAAGTTCATTCAGAGTGGCTTGTTTTCAACTCAGATAATTTTTAGCTTCCAAACTATGAGCTTCAGACCATAACGTATTCTAGTTTGTTGAAATTTGTTCATCATGGAACATCTGACAATGCAAAACAATTGATCCATTTAAAAAAAATGATGACATGCTCAGGGGTTGCGATAGGGAAAGTTAGATCAAATGTGATTATGACAAAATGTGTGTATACTATGATTGACGTGTTTTTTTATTTTTCCTGAAAATCATTATACCAAAAGTTATTCAGGGTGGGTCGTTATAAATGTAATGCACTGTATTTTTTAGGTACCCGCCGTTAAAATTTGAGGCTACTAGCGGTTGAGAAACGAGCCAATTCCAACAAGATTGCCGGGTGAGGAATCCTTTGTGGCTTGAATAACAGATTAAACGCTGGGGTATGTCTGACTCTACCTTCACTCTTGTCATACTGTCACAGAATTCTATCCAAGTCTTGGGCGCCATCGGACATATTTTCCACTCAATCGAACTGAAAGACTCGAGAAATAGGAATGAGACAAATTGGAAACGTCGAGATGACGGCAACTCTCATATATAAAGAGTTCTTCATTGGGTTGAACAACCCCAATACTGCGAGCTCGAAACACATGGCAAGTTAGAACTTTTATCCGGTAATTGAAAAATATTATGGGAGCCACGGAGGGGTTTTACGATTTTACACTTCTTACGAGGCCGTACATTTCAACATTTCACCTCCTCTTGACATATCATTCTTTTGTACTTTGTGTCTGTATATTATTAGGGGCAGACAAAAATAATGTACATTTTCCAAATGGTGGAACGAAGTTGGCGACATAGTTTTTCAGACCTTTGTTGTTTCACAAAGGACACCAAACCGTTATTGTGGTAAATGGTTTTCACTTGAATGGTCTTTACTTTTATCTATACTGATATGAATGTGAAAGGGTCAATGTGGGTTCTACTTCTCTAGCTGTCTTAGATGTTGTTGGATCTATTGTTGAATGATTCGAGAAGGGTGTGCACACTGTCATAACGCTTTTTGATTTGTCTAGGGCTTTTGATTGTGTATCACACAGTATACTTCTTAAAAAATTGTTAGAGGGGTATCTCCGTCACTCATAGAATCATACCTTTCAAATAGGTATCAGGCGGTTTCGTGTAATTATGTTGGATCAAATTATGAACCTGTTGAGTAAGGTGTTCCACAGGGTTCAAGGAAATGCTACTCAACCAATGTTTTTACTCAGTCTCAGAATACTACCATCATTTTAGAACAGTATACCCAGCTATGACTACTATGCACATTTTAGAATATCTGTCAAATTCTTATAAAAACTGATACAATCGTCGTTTTAAGTACTCAATATAGATGAACTTTTCTTTTTTCACTAAGTAATTTGGAGGAATCGTTCAAAAGTTATTACGCGTCGCGTCTACTGTAAGACGATAGGGGACGATGCGTGGGGGTAGAGAGGCAGTTTAAGCAGTGAATCGCCATCGCCGAAAACGCGACCCGAACGCGGGCAGACGCGTGAGGGCGGACGTAGTTGACGGTTGTGTTAGTTTGGCGAATTTCTTTATAGGTAACATAATTCGAATGTCGAAGCTATTCATTACATTCATTCATTAGGTCTAAGCAGTGAAGCGTCACCGCCAAAAACGCGACCCGAACGCGGGCAGACGCGTGAGGGCAGACGTAGTTGACGGTTGTGTTAGTTTGGCGAATTTCTTTATAGGTAACATGATTCGAATGTCGAAGCTATTCATTACATTCATTCATTAGGTCTAAGCAGTGAAGCGTCATCACCGAAAACGCGACCCGAACGCGGGCAGACGCGTGAGGGCAGACGTAGTTGACGGTTGTGTTAGTTTTGTCAATTTCTTTATAGGTAACATAATTCGAATGTCGAAGCTATTCATTACATTCATTCATTAGGTCTAAGCAGTGAAGCGCCATCGCCGAAAACGCGACCCGAACGCGGGCAGACGCTTGAGGGCGGACGTAGTTGACGGTTGGGTTAGTTTTGCGAATTTCTTTATAGGTAACATAATTCGAATGCCGAAGCTATTCATTACATTCATTCATTAGGTCTAAGCAGTGAAGCGCCATCGCCGAAAACGCGACCCGAACGCGGGCAGACGCGTGAGGGCGGACGTAGTTAACGGTTGGATTAGTTTTGCGAATTTCTTTATAGGTAACATGATTCGAATGTCGAAGCTATTCATTACATTCATTCATTAGGTCTGAGCAGTGAAGCGTCATCGGCGAAAACGCGACCCGAACGCGGGCAGACGCGTGAGGGCGGACGTAGTTGACGGTTGGGTTAGTTTTGCGAATTTCTTCATAGGTAACATAATTCGGATGCCGAAGCTATTTATTACATTCATTCATTAGGTCTAAGCAGTGAAGCGTTATCGCCGAAAACGCGACCCGAACGCGGGCAGACGCATGAGGGCGGACGTCGTTGACGGTTGTGTTAGTTTTGCGAATTTCTTTATAGGCAACATAATTCGAATGTCGAAGCTATTCATTACTTAGTGCAGTGGGCATATATTTTAGTAACTGTATTTTCAAAGTAAAAATAGGAATTATTAGCTGTTTCTAGCTCTTATATTAACGTACAGCCGAAGCTACTGAACCTAGGATTTTGAAATATGCAGGTAGGTTCTTTGTATAGCGTAAATAAGCATCAAGAAAGGGAATCTCTCCCCAAGGGGGAAACTTAAAGTAACAAATCAAATTCCACGCAGGTGAAGCCGCGGGCTTATGTTGAAGAAATATGATTTGTTTGAAAACAATTTTGGCTTTTTATTTTTTTATTAATAAAGAGGGTGTATCTTGAACGATGTCATTAATTTCAGGTGTTAATTACTTGTCATATTTTATGAAAAAAAGTTCTTATGAAGGCGAGTTTAACTTTTTTCGTTTCCGAGTAACGGCGAGTCAAATTTTGACTAATTTTTTTTTCATTAATAACTTTAATTCCCAACTTCAATGAAACCAGGTCCGTTTCTTAGGGATAAAGAGAGGGTTTTTAATGGAATTCCAGCAGCGTCACAGAGGATTACGGGATTGATATTTATGGTAAAAGTCATTGTTTTTCTCCAAGTCCTACATTTCGATCACATCAAACAATTAATGGAAAATACGTGTTTGGAGATAAGCTTTTTTACAAATGCACTAAATTGAAAAAATTATTCCTGAAGTTGAAATTCCAAATCTGATTTTATAAAAAGAAGACTTTGTTAGTTACAACAAACACACATAGTAGTCAAAATCGGTGTTCATATGAACTTTTTCCATGAAATATGACAATTATTCATCACCTGAAATTGATGACATCATTTAAGATAGAAAGTGGGAACATTCTGCAGAACAAATAAAAATGAATGCATAACTGAAAAATTTTTATGAAGAAGAACAGATTGAAGACATTTTCAACACGAATGTTTCTTTCAGACATGAAATGGAAGAAAACAAATCGACCCGAAACAAAATGATAGAGAAATAATTTTTTAGTTTATACTACAAACATTCATAATGGAACTGAAAAAGATATTGTACATAGAAATGCTACAGAAAGTAATGTATGAAAGAATACCTACTGTTATATTGAAAGGGTTATATTTTTAGGTGATTCATTTTGGGGAAAGACAAGTTTTGGTTTTCTACTTCGTCATCTTAACACAAAAACTGTATTTACTATTGAATAATTTCACTCGCATGAAAAACTTTCAATCTCCATGCGTACGAAGTTTGAAATGAAAACAGAATTCAATTCCTGGTCCTTTGAGGACAACTTTGGATGACGATTCATTCAATACTTATAGATAAATAGATAGTTTGTTCAACTACGATAGATATACTTACCATAAATCGTATGCTGAGCCATACAACTTCTCATCTGGCCATATTAGGATGCACCCAGCTCTCTGTTTGTCTTTCGTCCTGAAAATCAAATATATTCCCTGTTTAATTTTCCGAAACACATATCATGTACAAGCAGTTGAATGAGTTGAGTTGAGGTAAAATTATTGTTAATGTGTTCGTAGAAGGAGATTGTTGAATTTCGATTTGTTTTGATTCAATACTCATTTATGCTTCAATGATTTGAAAAATGAATCACAATATTGATCCACTATGACTTAGTGATCATCTGTTAATTGTCTTGGTCGAAGAGTAGAATGTAAAAGTGATGGCAAAGAGGCATTGAACTTCAAATAGATGGAAGCGTCTCTCAGAATGACTCCCTGTACCACTGGTATAATGACACCTCAAAATGTGAGAAGTATTCATGCAAAGTTTCTCCTTTTATAATCAACTACCTCCGGAATTTGTGGATTTCGATTCAACTTCAAATAAAACTCAAAATTTCTTCTTCCCAATCAAACGTTGAAACTTGTTTCAATGATCTGCCGTTTTCCATTCATACAATTTGAATGCTTTGAACATAATTGATTGTTAACGAAATAACAAGAATAATTGTATACTAGATACTAAGGAGAAAGAAGACTCGACGCTACATAAAGCCAATGAGAGGAATAAGCTATAGTGGGGGATGAAGAAAGACACAAGAAAATCTGCATAAAAATGAAATGATCAAGAGGACTGATCCAATTTCAAGAAAGAGGACAAAAACCTCTACTGGGATTGTGAAGCCACACACATAACTCACACTATTTTGCATTAAAGTCACTAGTATTTTTTAAAATTACTTCACCTTGTTTAGACGATACTGACTCATCGTACTTGTTGTATATATAGCCCCAATTATCGAATTTCCATCATTTTCTTGAACGTAGAATGCCAATTCAAAGAAAGGATTTGGTGCTTCAATAAATTGAAGGCAAGTGGTCTTATATCGACGTAATGTTCCAGATAATAAAGAAATTGAACTCTTTAACCCTGGTTTATAGAAGTTCCATATTCAGAATTGCGATCGATAACTTCACCTTTTTTGCATCCTTTCCCAACCGACTATATTTATTGCGAAGGAAACAGAAATATCCTTTCCACGTTTTCTTGGCGAATAGAAAAGAATCAATCATTCACTCGAGCTACTTTTATCACCACCAGCCCTGCTGAAATTGCAGCCCGGCGATTTTGAATTATGGAAACGATCAAAGAAGTTATGATTTCCGTGGTATACGAGGTGTGATCAGAAAATTAGTTCAATTTTAATTTTCTTAAAAAAATACTTCCATTCATCAATTTTTGTTTGTCCCCTTCAAAGTATTGCCTCTCTGATATAACATTTTTTTATTTACTTCATTTAAAGTCGCATCAACCTTCAGGGTTATTAGCGACTGAACAGTGCATCGGGTGCTGGAGAATTACGAAACGATGGACAAGTTGACATTTTCTGAAAATTTCACAATATTCCCAATATTACACGCAGGCCCAATGCGTTGTTGATTGAAGGCGGGATGTCTCTATCGTTGGAATATAGCACACACTTCGTTAAGATATGGTCAACAGTTACGGGAGAGTCGCATACTTCACACATGGTGCTGGTGTCGCCGGCAATGAAGTATCCATGGGTGACGCAAGTGTGGCCTATTCGCAGGCGAGATATTATGACCTGGAGTTTCCTACTTATCGGGAGTACACTTGTTTTCACTTCGGAAAGTTTACTGCAAGACACATTTCATTGATCTTGCCACAATTTACTGAGGATTTTCTTGTAGTATGGTTTCAAGCTTCTTCAGCTTCTTCAGCTAATCGGTCAGCATTTTCATTTCCTATCATACCTACGTGAGAAGGGCCTCATACAATGACTACCCCTTTTCCATAGAGTATTTTGATCAGTTCTTTTATGTGACGAATGAAGGGATGGTTGGAGTATAATTGGTTGATTGCTTCCAGGGCAGTTAAAGATTCTGACAATCAAAAATTTCATGGAGTTGATCTTCTCTACGTACTGTAGTGCTTCTCATATGACGTAAAGTTCAAACTATTCCTAGGGATAGTTTGAATAAAAAACTAGATTGAAGACTGGTAAAAGCGGCTCCTACGCCGTCTTCAGTTTTGGATGGGTTCGTGTAGATTGTGTCAAACTCCTTGTATTTCGTATGAATCATTTCATATAGATTACATCTGATGACTTCGCAGTAAATGTCTCCCTTTTTGAACTGGTTGAGGTTTGTATCAATGATAATTTTTGGAGTAGTCCTTGGGGTTTGGTTGGGGATATTCGGGTCAGAAAAGGTTTTTGGTTGATGGAGGTTCAAACTGAGTTTATCTCTCGTAAAAAGGAAGGTGAGCTCTTTCCTTCTTAGCATATGTTGACGACGAAAATCTATTGGCGATCACATTATGGTATACTGGGTTCTCAGGATTTGCTGTAAGGGTTGAAAACTGTCTCTGGGTTGCTAAAGATGGTTCGCCTGATTCACATTGTAAGCTTTCGGATTACATTTGATGACTTCGCAGTGAATGTCTTCCTTTTTGAACTGGTTGAGGTTTGTATCAATGATAATTTTTGGAGTAGTCCTTGAGATTTGGTTGGGGATATTCGGGTCAGAAAAGGTTTTTGGTTGATGGAGGTTCAAACTGAGTTTATTTCTCGTAAAAAGGAAGGTCAGCTCTTTCCTTCTTAGCATATGTTGACGACGAAAAGCTATTGGCGATCACATTATGGTATACTGGGTTCTCAGGATTTGCTGTAATGGAAGCAGTGTAGGTGAAGGTTGAAAACTGTCTCTGGGTTGCTAAAGATGGTTCGTCTGATTCACATTGTAAGCTTTCGGATTACATTTGATGACATCGCAGTGAATGTCTTCCTTTTTGAACTGGTTGAGGTTTGTATCAATGATAATTTTTGTAGTAGTCCTTGAGATTTGGTTGGGGATATTCGGGTCAGAAAAGGTTTTTGGTTGATGGAGGTTCAAACTGAGTTTATCTCTCGTAAAAAGGAAGGTCAGCTCTTTCCTTCTTAGCATATGTTGACGACGAAAAGCTATTGGCGATCACATTATGGTATACTGGGTTCTCAGGATTTGCTGTAATGGAAGCAGTAGGTGAGGGTTGAAAACTGTCTCTGGGTTGCTAAAGATGGTTCGCCTGATTCACGTTGTAAGCTTTCGGATTACATTTGATGACTTCGCAGTGAATGTCTTCCTTTTTGAACTGGTTGAGGTTTGTATCAATAAGAATATTTAGGGTAGTCCATGGGGTTCCGTTAGACATATTCGGGTTGGTGAAGGTTTTTGGTTGATGAAGGTTCAAATTATTTAGATACTGATTTTGTCTCTTGTAAAAAAGAAGGTCACCTCTTTCTTTCCCAGCATATGTTGACGATGAAAATCTATTGGCGTCCACATTATGGTATATTGTGTTTTCAGGGTTTGCTGTAATGGAAGCGGCGTAGATGAGGGTTGAAAACTGTCTCCGGGTTGCTGAAGATGATTCGCCTTATTCACAGTGTGAACTTTCGGTTGGACTTGTGCAGAATGCCCCACGGGCAATTCTGATAGCATTATTGTGGAAGGTATCGTTTTTTCAATTCTCGGAGCAGTACGTCCTTCAGCTCTCTCAGACATTCGTTTTCATTTTCTCAATCGTCGCAAAACGCCGTCATTTCATAAATCTCTTCAATTTTGGGAACAGAAAGAAATCGCAGGGGGCAAATCTGGTGGATACGTAGGCTGAGGCATGATTATGGTGTAGTTTTTGGCCAACAAGCGAAGACGCTTGGATTATCGTGTAGTAAAAGCACTTCTGCCTCTGTCTCTCACCAACAAACTAAACATGCTAAACACCTTATTTTTTGAACAGACTGAACAATCATGTCCCTTCCTTAAAAGTTCATTGATTCAAAATAGTAGTAATTTGAATTCAATATTCTGAAACGAACTTATATAATCTAAAATTGACTTACCCATAAAATACAATCTTCGAGTAGAGTAGGCAAGGAAGAGCCAAAAGCATACTTGCCGTCCAGATGAAGGTGATGGTGAAGAGGGATGATGCTTTTGACATTCGAGGATGCAACGGATGGACTATCGCCAAATATCTGGAATAGAATGGTTAGATTCTTTCAAATATATCGAAACTAGCTTTTACTCGTGGCTTCGCTCGCATTTATGCCATTGAATAAGTGTCAGTACAAGAGAAATTAATCAATATGGGAACTATATTTCAATGCTTGGCTGGGATTATACATTTTTTTTAATTATTACATACGATGAAGGTTCAAAAATTCAAAATATGCTTTATTGAATTGCAACAACAAATGTTAAAATATATTTCACTGTAACAAAAATAACATAACCTAACCAACCTAACCTAACTTGACCTAACCTAAACTAACCTAACCTAACTCAAAAATGAAAATGACAAAAAAAAATAACAATAAGTATAAAAAAATTCCAAACAGCTGGAACTATAGTCAATTTTTGACGAACAATTTTTTTATCCTACATATTGTTTTTTTTTATAAAAAGTATCCTATGTTACTTCTAATACCTCCAAGAACATGTGTACAAAATTTCATGATGATAGGTTTGGTAGTTTTCGCGTGAAACCGTAACAAACAAACTCACATTCGCATTCATAATATTAGTAGGGAAGTAGGGATAATGTATCGAAAAGAGAAAACATGTAATGTCTCGTTCCTCGGATATCTCCTGCACTGACAAGATGCAATACCTCCAAACCGGTCTGGATGAACGAGAAATATCTGCAAGACTAACCTCCGAGAAGAATCTTGCATAAATGTGTGTCGGATATAATTCAATATCCAACGTGGTGTAAGCCGGGAAAGTAGTTGTTTTCCGGTAGGCATTTACCAGAACCTACCGTGTACGTATATTGTGAGAGATTAATTTATTTTCTTGAAAATATCATAGCAAAGTTTTCTCAAATTTGGTTAAAATTATTGAGTCAACTTATGCCTGAAACTGATTTTTTCATGATTTACAACAATACTATTATTCAAATCAGATTATGGAAATTGGCTGAATTTTATCTAACAAATTGCAGTCAGTGACATTTTGACATTTTGACATCTCCAGTGGTAATTGGCAATGCGTTTGACATATCCAGAGCCAGTTTTTTCGTTAGACCATGACTACCTGTTCCAAAGTGAGTAGGTCTATTTCACCTTTCACTCCAACCCGCGGAGATTTATTGTGGCAATGACTACATATCCCAAATTATCATTGTTTGTTTCAAGGACAAAGCACAAGCACTGCAGGAAAATTCCTAAGGCGAACTGACTGTACAAATTGGTACACCACAAGGGACCGTTTTGGGACTGATACTTTTTCTTATTTACATTATCAGTATAACAAAAATCAACAATTTCATAGGCGATATAATATGCTATGCCGATGATACGGCTCTAATTTACACGGGAACATCTTGGGATGAAATAAAAGAGACAGTAGAAACAAATTTACAAAAAATATACATGTGACTAAGTAGTACTAAACTGTAACTGAATGTAAACAAGACAAAGTGTCTGACCTTTTCCCCCACCCTTCGTGATCAACCCAAAAACTACAAAATAAAAATGCATATACCGCTCTGTAATAATCAAAATACTTGCGACTGTCACGACAGTGGAGCAAGCCACATCTGTAAAATACCTCGGAGTTATTTTAGATCAGCATCTAAAATGGACGGAACATATCAACTTTGTAACAAAAAGGCTTCGAGTATTGATGGACAATTATTATGAACTACGTGATATACTGTCAAAAAAAATCTTATAATACTCTATACCTCTCTTGTCGAATCTATAATAAAATATTGTATTCCTGCTTGGGGTGCATTTTTCAAAAATGCTATTAGCCCATTACAAACTGCTCAATGCTCAAAACATTTTATTAAAAATTATCTTCAAAAAAATAGACACTTTTCAACAAGAGAGTTATATCAAGAAACTAACATGTTAAATATTCAATCACTATACATTTACCATTGCCTAATAAGAATGTTTCATAAATGAACAGATTTCGCGCAGAAACAAACATTCAAGAAATACTAGATCAAAAATGAACCAGGACGTAAAAATTGAATTCCTTAATGAAACGGTCACCCAGAATTCTTTTTTCTTTTATGGTCCAAAAATATTCAACGTCTTACCTGAAAATTTAAAAGATATAACATTCTTTAAACTATTCAAAAAAGAGGCGAAAAAGTATGTACATAATTACCCAGAAAAATTTCCAACTTCATACTGAAATAAATACTTACTTATGTTTTGTATATATTGTGTTTATAAGCACTACACATACACTACCGAATTTTAACAATAATACCACAATAAGCGGTTATACCCCAATCGAAATGATTCAAATCATCCAATCTCATTTGAACCCCAATTTTAAATTCTCTCTTTCATCGTCTTTCTATAAAAATGTAAGAGAGCTTCACTTACCATATTAATACAATTATACATAAGACATACAATTGTACAAATGCCACGCTGATTTAGACATCACAAAACAGGTTATATTTGCCTAGCGTGAGTCTACTTCAGTGAATTATTAAAAAAAACTCAAACAACTAATTAATATCCATTATTTTATTTATATTATTAATTTTCACATTATTGATTGTGTTGATATCTGTTCTGTTTAAAATATTTTTTCTCCGTTAACCAGCTGTCGCACCCCTACCAACGACAACCCTCAGAAGTCGAAACTTGTGCGAGCTAAGGATTAACGAGGTCTTACCTTTTAACGTGTGATTCCTAACACGTGTTGGACGATAGCAAGTGAAGATCGATCGTTCAGACTAGGGCTTGAACCACCGACCAACACGGCAGTCAACACCGACCGTATGATTGTATGTAAAATGATTCTGAAAATGAAATTGAATTGAATTGAAATTGAATTGAATTGATTCACACTGGATTTGAACCGCTGGAGATCAAATCTATTTGGAAAACAGTGAAGTTCGAGGTGTACTGGGTTGAACCTCAAAACGATGAGATGACGTACCGCTCTTGGTGGAATCAAATGTACTAAGTCACTTGAACACTTCCCGTGAAAGTATCCATGGAAGAGAGACAAATCTCCAACCTTTCTTCGATGTTCCAGGCTATCAAAGTTGCAAGTGATGTTCGCGTCTCCAATTAGACGGCTGGCTCTTTTCTGAATGAAATCCAGCAGCTTAGGGCATGCTTAGGGGCGGAGCTCCATACATGTGAACAATGCTCCAAAAAAGGTCTGATCTGAACTTTATAAAATATCATCAAACGTTGCTGGAGTTTGTATAGTTTTCTGGTTCGAAACAGTGTTCCAGGCTTTTGAGAAACAGCCTTTGCAATTCCAGCGACATGATTGTGCCAAGACATATTGGTGTCCACTTCAACCCCCAACAAATTCATCGAAGCAGAATGCGGGATTATCTGTGCTGACATTATCATATCTGGTTCGCAGACGTTTATCTGTTTGGAGAAAACCAGTGCCTGGGTTTTCAAAATCACCTCTGGATCCTCATTAAGATATGCAATCTCCTGCTGCCGGTGAAGCTGTGTATCTGCAGCCAAAGTTTTTTTCCAATAAGTCGTTGGTATTAAAAAAAAAGAGTGTTGTCACAATATGGCTCCCTGGGAAAAACCAGCGTTCGTGGTAAAAGTTTTCGAGAGATAAACATCGACAGCCTGTGACGTATCTTGCATAAATATCTATCGAATATAATTCAATATCTAACGTGTTATTAGCCAGGTAAGTAGTTGTTTTCCGGCAGGCATTTACTAGAATCGTCTATGTAGGTATTTGTGAGTGAATGTTTCGAAATTTAATTCCAAAAAATGTATTTTCTCGAAAATATCACAGCAAAGATTTCTCAAATTTGGTCAAAATTTCATCGAGTTGATTTTTGGCTGGAACTAATGACTAACAGTGATGATTTTGTGTGTTTAATTGGCGAACAATTTGGCAGGGATGTGTAGGAATATGATTTTTTTCCATTGCACTCACTTGGAATTATATGACAGTTATAAAACCATTGAGGGTTGAATTGTTTTCTAAAACTCAGTTGTCGTACTTGGTATTCAGTGGAAATTCATGTACAAGATCTGAAGAAGGAAACTTCAAGGGTTTCTGATATTGAAAGTAACTATAGATTCCCTTTCTTACCTATTTGAACATCCAATATCAATAACCAGTAACTGGAGATCCGTTAAGCTTCTCAATGGATACATCTAGCACAGTTTGGCTGTAGACCGTTCAATGAAAAATTATTGTAGCGACGCCCTAGTCGTTCTGAACTTCATTTTACTAATTACATCTCATTGTGAGCCAAAATGGATTTAAAACGGGGTGCTATTCGACTTGCAACGCTCTTTAATCGTTTTAGAACTGTGCGTTGCGATATTGAAGCCAGTGGCTTCAAAAAGACGGACCATGTGATAATAAAACGAAAAACGCTTGCCGTGGTAAACTTTGAACTTGGGAGTAAATAATTCTGAAATCTTAGGAAAAATAATTGAATTCGTTTGCATTGTTGTCAAGGAAATAGATGGTTCATCCGAACGAGATTCAGAATGGAAAAAAACCCATCTCTCTTTCTTCTAAGCCATCTACGAGGGTAGTCCCAGAAGTACCCACAAAAAAAAAACACAAAAATTTTGGAAAAAAATGTATTTATTTCTCGAAATAATCTATTTGCAGCTCTATACACTCTTCTCAACGACGTTCAATAACTTTTTTTGTTTTTTTGAAAAATTTAAACATACTTTTCACTGAAAGGGAACAGTTCTGCACAAACAGAGTTATCCAATTAGACCAGTGGTTTCCTTTGTCACTCCACCATCAGTGACATCATCAGAAAAGCTTATCAATATCATCTTGAACCACTGTAACTTCCAACCAAAATTCTGTGTACGGAATTCATATGACTTTGATGTGCATAATCTATTTCCCTGCATACCTCCTGATGATACTATTACTTTAGTAATAGAATTATCAGATAAAAATAGAGTGAACCCAGTCATAAAACGAGAAATAATTGACCTTCTGTCGTAATGTCTCGAACAAAATTATTATATAGTGTGACCCA